TAAAACACCAACAGTATTTTTTAAAATCACTTCTTGGAGAGAAGTATTAAAAAAAAATTGATTATGCTCATTCCCCCTCTTAGTATGTAAAATATCAGCAGCATCAGGTTCTGTAAATATCTATTCAAATGTCAGCATATGTATATCTGATTAGTTGAGTGTGGTATGGTTAGCTCTGGGATAAGCAATCCAAAACTTAAAAATCAACAACCACTTAAACTTGCTTTTTTTGAGAAGCAAAGAACTTAGTAGGTGCTTTTTGCACCATCTTATGGTATTGTAATGCTAAAAATAGAATTTCTGTTATCTTTGTAATTTTTGCCATCTTCTCTGTTACTGTAATAGTCTTTGCAACAGACAACAATAAAATTTTTGTCTTAGTGATGGGTAGACACCTCATGGCATCATGAAACAGTGGTTAGATCACAATGCAGTGTGAACTCCCTAACTTTGTGCTAGTTTACTATCACAGTTCTGTGGCAGGACATCTATTATGTACACACACACAGCTTATCTTCCAGAGCTCTAAAGAGAGGTGTTAAAGAAGGAACAAATGTGCTCCCGTTCTAGTGTCATTGAGGTTCAATACACTGTAAAATGTTTGAATCTTACTGTTTGAATAATCAATGTTCATCAGCATCAGATTATTCAGCAAGGTTCACACAGATACACTGTGCAAATTTGTTGTGTATTCCTGGGTGCTATTTTATGAGGGGTTAAAAATAAGCCTCTGTTGTGAATGGCTTAACAAATCTGAAATCTTAGGCCACATGACAAATTTCAGTTGATGGATTTGAAGACCTCTAAACCTGGCACCATGACTGAGTTATGCTAGTCATGCGAATGGTAAAGCAAGAATGCTGTGCAAGTCTCATGTAGTTACATTTTCCTTTTAAATTGCTTTGCTTTTTTATCATTGACATGTTCTGCTATTGCCATTCAAACTGCTGTAGCTTCTCATGTTTAAGGCTTGTCTGCTTTCAGATCACAACGTGAAATTGTCAGATCGTTACGAAGGTGGCACACACACACACACACAAAAGCAATCTTTACACTTTTTTTGAAAATTCCAAATAGTCTTCAGAAACTCTTGAGACTTCCCAGTTTAAGAACTTTTCAAACTAGAAAAACTTAAGAAAAATATTCTCATAGTTCATGACACAAAGGCTCATCATTGGTTCAATTAAGCAAGTGGCTGCATACTGTATGGATTGAGTTTTAAACTGCATATTATTGTAGCAGCATCGTATGGGATGGCTTTAGTCATATTTTTCTCTGTCTAAATGTTAATGTAAGATCCAAGTACCGAATGAAAAGCTTCCTGGCTCATGTTGATGTGATGTGCTTTGTTTAAGAGAAAAAAGACAAACATTGTGGTTTTGGGGTGCTTTTGTGCTCCCTGTTTTGGGGTGTTGCTCACAAAGGCTTATTTTTTTATAAAGTAGAATTCCACTTGTTACAAACCAATATGCAAAACTGCTGTCCTTGTAAAGAGTGCAATATTATATATTTTTATGTAAAAGTAAAAATGATTTTTGGAGCAAGGAATATTTATTCAGCTTAATATTCTGGAACTATTAAAATAACATTGCAATAGTGTCTGTGCATGATGTACTTAAATTTCCTGTAAATGTCACATTCCACACTATATTTGTATATACACTGTCACATTGTTGGGTAATAAACAGATCTTTGTATCAAACCATTTTGAGATTATTAGAAACATGTTTTTGGCTTTGTTGCAACTTTCTTCTTTTAGGAAATCTTTCATGCCTTGCTCCAGATCAGTTTCTGCTGATTCCCTTGTCTTTCATATTTTAAAAATCATGATGTGGGAAAGTTCCGTTTATGGACTACATCCTGTGTCTGTCAAACCGAAGGTGGTGAGTGTAAGATGGGAAGTAGGAAACTATGTATATCACTTTGCACGTGTGTACATGTGTCCTTCCTTCCCACAGGATGCATGACTAGAACTTGGGTGAAATTATGGCTCTCAAAGCAGAGACATTCCCCTTCCTTCCATCTGCCTTCTCACTGAAAGCCTGTCTGAGCAGCAAAGGCAGAAAAGCAAATTCTCTCGGGATTCTCAGAAAGACGGGTGGAAATTGGAAGACTGGGATCTTGGGAAGGCATCTGACAGGATGTGAGGCTCTTTCTGCTGGCAGCCACAGGGTGTGGGAGATGTTCACGGGGCAAGGCTTATCTACCTGATTGCAGGATTCTGTGATAAATCCAGGCCTTTATGCTCAATAGTGGAGAGACATGGTGAGAAAGGGAAGGGGAGACAATAGTTGGATATTCCCCATTACTGAAAGGGAACCCTGGTCTTTCATTTTGAGATCCACTGCTTAGACAAACCCATGACAATGAACAAAAGGGGGAAAAAAAACTGAACTGAATTAAGCACAAATATAATAATAGTAAAAGATAACAATGGAGCAGTGGGGGAAATACGACCTGGCTTGCTACTAACAGATTTTTAGTTTACCTTTTAATTCCTTCATGCCTTCTTTTGTTTAAAGCTGTATTGGGATTTTTCCTTGCATATGAAAATGGAAGTCACACTTCCATATGCTGCTACTCTATCAGAAAAACAATCAAACAATTACTGTTTAAAAGCTCCGCTTGCCTTGAAAAATATCCACTGGAATATTTAAGCCTCTTTACATACAAACACTTTTTTTTTTTTACTTTGCTGCTGTATTAAGTTACAAACTACTGACAAATGACTGCTGTTTGGAGATTTATTTGCCATTACTGCTCTGGAGTGGGGTCAGGCACTGATTTTGTATCAGAGTTTCTGTGATAGGCTCTGTTGTGTATTTCATAATTTTGAAAAAAGATTAAAAATGAAATGTGGCTGCTCTGATTAGACACTTAAACTATTCTGGACTACACAGCAGAAAGGAGTTGAGTAAAACAGGATCTTGTTTACTGTTTCCAGTTTTGAGATAGCATTCCCAGGAAAAAAAAATTAAGTCCTTATTCTCTAATGCAATTGACAGAAGCCCATATAATACTCATTAGAGCCAAGTTCATGTAAGTTCAAGGAATATAAATTTGTGTTAGCTGTATGGGTATTGCTTTCAGAACCTGTAGGGGAGGCTCCTGGTTGTGGTGGAAGGTTAAGAGTTTGCAGATTTAAAAGCAATATCTGTGTAATAGATTATAAAAATATGTTTTTAAAAGAGCCATTTCCCACATTTATATTTTAGCGTAGGTCATAAAATTGTTAGAATCCAGTGGTAAAAATATTCTGATGACAATAGCCTCATGATTAGGACTATCTACTATGTGCTCTTTGTCTAACAGCATGTAAATCCTTTGTGTACGAAATGGGACCTTTTGTAGATTGATGACGTGGTTGAACATAAATGAAAGAGCAGCAAGTGAAATCTCCATCAGTTTCTGGAACTCTAGTTTTGGGAAGCTTGTGAACTTACCTAGTTATATTTAGTGATGCTTACCTTCTTCCTGTTGCATCCCCTTCTGCCAAGCCACTACCCCAAAAGCCATTGACTCCATCTCAGAAGAGGCTGCCCTTGCTCCAAAGCACCTTTAGAAATAGGACTCTTCCTTGTTCTCTTCCATATAGAAAACAAATGTTACTTGGGAATTCTGCTCCATTATGATGGAATGAGAAAATGTGCTGAGGGCAGGTAGGAGAAAACATACACCACTCCAGAGGGAATGGCCATCTTACTGGGGAAAAAACTAATGAGTCTGGTGATCCTGGCAATGGGTTATCGCAGCTGACAAAATTTTCAGTTGAAGATGTTAACTGGCACTGGTTCAAATGCTGTTGAGCCATACAGCTTTTATAGGGAGAACCGTATAAAAATTGATCTATGAAGCTGAATTGTGTTGTTCTGACATACTAGCCCTGACAAGGCGAATCTGAGCAGCGCATTTCCCACCGCAGTTCCATTCCTCATGGCAGCTTTTTACATCATCCTTCTGTTGCTGGTGTGAGGGCAGGACAGGCACTGTGGGCTCTCACCCCAAACCCCAGGGCCATACAGGCTTTGCTGCTTGAGGTACAGCACTACGGGCTGGGGGCAGAGTGGCTGGGAAGGGGCCTGGTAGAAAAGCACCTGGGGATGCTGGTCAGCGCCCAGCTGAACATGAGCCAGGTGTCTGAGAAGGCTGACGGCATCCTGGCCTGGATCAGCCCCAGTGTGGGCAGCAAGGCCAGGGCAGTGACTGTACTGTGCACAGCACTGGCTGCACCTTGAGTATTCTGGGTTCAGTTTTGGGCCCCTCCGTTCAGGAAGGATGCTGAGATGCTGGAGCATGTCCAGAGAAGGGAAATTGACTTGGTGAAGGGAACTTGGGTCCTGTGAGAAGTGGCTGCAGGAGCCGGGGCTGGTTAGCCTGGAGAAAAGGAAACTCGGGAGACCTTAGCGTTCTCTACGCAGACAAGGAGGCTGTAGCCAGGTAGGAGCAGGTCTTCTTCCAGGTCACAAATGACAGGATGAGAGGGAATGGCCTCTAGCTGTGCCAGGGGAGGTTCAGTTTCGACAGTAGGAGGAATTTCTTCACGTAAATGGTGATTAAACTTTGGAATGGGTTGCTCAGGGACGCGCTGCAGTCACTGTTCCCGATGTGTTTAAGGGAAGACTGGATATGGCGCTTATCGCCACGGTCTAGTTGAGAGAGTGGTGTTCGATCAAAGGTTGGACTCGATGATCTCAGAGGTCTTTTCCAACCTAATGGATTTTGTTTCTGTGGTCTGTGATTCTGTTTGAGAATACCTGGATGATCGCTTGATCCCAGGCGCCTGCGGTAGCCGGGGCAGGAGGCGGCTGCAGCAGGAATCAGGAGGGACGAGGCAGGCGGAGCGTGAGGGCGGTGGCTCCGGGGCCCGCGGCCGGGCTGCCCGCAGCCTCCGCGCCCACACGGTGAGGGAGGGAGGGAAGGAGGGAGGGAGGGAGGGAGTGCCCAGGAGCGCGGGCTGGAGAAGGTGCCGGGAGGGGCGCCCAGCGCAGGGCGGGTCGGGCTTCCGCGCGGGGCTTTCTCCGGCGCGGCGGCCGGCGCTGGTGTCCTGGGAATCCCTTGGCCGCTCCGTCCGGCATCCCGGCGGTCCCGTGGGCTGCTGCGGGTGGGCAGGGGCCGGCGGCGGCCACGCGAGCCGGAGTTTCCCGGTTATCCGCAGGAGTCGGCGTCGGGCTTTGGGCTCCGTTGTCCCCGGCACCGGCGGGGAGCATCCTTCTCCGGGGAGCCCGCCCCGAGCCCAGGTATCCCGCGGGCGGCGGGGAGGGGGGCTCTGCCGGCGTGCTCCTTCCTCCTCCGTCCCTGCCTGGAGCGAAGGCTCAAGGAAGTGGCCGCTTTTCCTGCTGGCTGGCTCGCACTGACGGAGGAACAGCTCCCGCTGCCCGGCTGCTGCTGGCGGCAATCGCTGATGTGTGGTGCTGGGAGCTGCTGCACAGCAGAGCCATTAGGGCAGCGCAGTGAGAGAGAAAACTCGGAATAACAACTTAAAAAACGCTTCTGCCCTGCAGGTGATGCAGTGCCGAGCTTGCCGGAGATCTCTCTATATTGTAGGTTACAATTCTGTCCAAATACGTTTTAAGTGGGGTTTGAAAGGAATAATCAAAATTTCCTGTGTATTTCTTTGAAAGCTCACAGCTATCTTTCAAAATTAGCTAAAGAGGTAAAATAGTAGCCAGGAAAAATATTTCTGCCTCAGACTTTCCAAATCTCTGGTGGTTTGCTGGGCTATATGTTCAAATAACCTGTATACTGATGATAAATAATATTGTACAAAAAGATTGTCTTTGGGAAATATCATATCACTTCAGCCATTATTTCCTTTGAATTTTTTAATGTTCAGAAGCAAGATTATAATTCTTAGTAAAAATTTGGGTATGATGGCAAGAATTTTTGGAACTTGACAATTGAACTGGATATAGTACTGGATATGTTAGATAAGAACTAAGCTGTTGGAGTTTTGCTGATTTGCAGTTACATGAGGAGAAGTTATTTTCAAAGTCACCATGCTTATGGTATGAAAATTGCATTCTTTCCTTATTGTGAACAATTGTTCTTGCCTTTAATCTGATCATTTTTGCTTGTAGTACTAAGCTTCTCCTTAGGAGATGGACTGAAAAGCTGCAGTAATTTTCTTGTATTTCTTTATGCAGCCAGGAGATAGAGAAAGAAAAGGATTCCTTACCCTGCCTCTCTCTTTACAGAGCTACATCAGTTGCTGTAACTTAGAGTAAGAACTGAGATACAGGGGAAGTTTGGTTTAGTTCCATTTCTTTTTCTTTTTTTCTCTGTTTTAATTTGTTTGGTATACCAGTTTGGCATCGAACAGCTGTGAGGCTGTAAATTTCGCTGTTTATGTTCCTGCAAGTGGATAATGAAATGTGACAATCTTTCCTCAATTTACGATGTGATTTGCAGGTCATTATCCAGGGATGATTCCCACTAATGTCACTGGAACTTAGTTCAGTGATTGATTGGGTTAACTTTCCTATTGGGCTGTGTGGTCCACAAAGTACAGAGCTTGTGTAGAAGCTTTTCTTTGGAGTTGTCAACCCCAGGTTTTCTAATCTAGTAATTTCAGGTCCATGACTTTAGATTAAGGCAGCAATTTGGTTTCGGGCTTTTTAGATTGAGTTCCAGAGGTCACTTTTAATGTATGGCATTGTAAGATTGTACTTGGAGCTAGAGGGGGGGGAAATGCAGCTTTTCATCCCTGTTTCTTGTAGAAATCCATCCTTGAGCTTGAAAATTCAGTTTTGCTTCTATGTTACTCAAGTTTTTAGACTTTTTCTGCATTTTACTAACAAGTATTTATAATGTTTAGTAGGTGAAGGTTGCACTCCTCACCCCAATGCAGCATCAAGCTATACCTGCAAATCTTTATGCAGCTTTGTGCATTATAATAAGATAAATTTGCCTTTGAAGTGCTGTTGGGTACAACCATTCATTGTAAAACAAAAAAGGGAAAAGCTGCTCTTCACAAGCATTTTTAGGAGCCTGAGAAATGAAGAACTTCAGCACACATGAGTTACGTGCAGAACCCAGAAAATGGATGAAGTGAGGTAAACAAAACGCCAGAAAATGCAGCTGGCTGGGAGGCTGTCACTGTGCAGCTTTCAGGAGTGATGCTTTAGGAAAGGGCTGTCTGGTGTGGGGTGCCAGTCAGCAGAAACTGTTTGGCTAAAAAAGGCTGTGTAGCTGCTGTCACTGTTCCTCGTTAGCCCGGCCAGTGTTCCCCTAAAAGAAAAGAATCAGTAGAGACCAGGTCAATGAACTCGGTGTGCTGCCCAAAAATAGGCTGGCTAAATGGGCTCCTGCATAATCCAGGTCTGCTGGCTGCAGCAGTACCACGTAGGCTGCATGAAGGCTGCTCGTTAGCACAGTTACTGTAACTAAAGTGATTATCAGGGCCTGTATTGACGTGTGCCTATATTGATCCAACGTAAAACCAGCCAGGAATGAGTAGCAGCAAACCCAGCTGAGAATTTCTGGTTCCAGGAGTTTTAGGTAATTCAAATGATGGGGAGAAGTTGCTCCTTTTAAACATCAAAAGGGATGTGGTCAGCAGGTCCAGGGAGGTGATTCTGCCCCTTACTCAGCTGTGGTAGCACTGCATCCACACTGCATCCAGCTCCGAGGTCCCCAGCACGGCAGGGACATTGACCTCTTGGAGCGAGTCCAGGAGAGGGACACCAGGATATCAAGGGGCTGGAGCATGTCTCCTGTGAGGAATATCTGAAAGAGTTCAAATTGTTCATCCTAGGGAAGCAAAGGCTCCGGGGAGACCTTACTGCAGCCTTTCAGTAATAAAAAGAGGCTTAAAAGAAAAACTGGGACAGAATTTTTAGCAGGGCCAGTTGTGAAAGGACGAACGGTAATGGTTTTAACTAAAGAGGGTTGATTCAGACCAGATGTAAGGAAAAAAGCTTTACCATGAGTGTGGTGAAACACTGTAATATGTTACCCAGAGAAGTGGTGGATGCCCCATCCCTGGAAACATTCCAGGTCAGCTTGGAAAGGGCCCTGAGCAACTTGTTACAGTAGATGTTCCTGCTCATTGCAGGAACATTGCATTTCCTTGAACCAGGTGATCTTTAAAGGTGCCTTCCAACATAAACCATTCCATGATCCTGTAGACTGGTCACCCAGGTACAATATAAAGATAAATGTGCCTTCCTGTAGGACTAAAGGCCTAGAGAATACTTGGACAGTTTCATAGGAGTCATCTTAAGAGAGAGGATGAGATCCATTTGTCAGGCTGCAGCCTCAGATGAAACACATCCTGCAAGAGGGTGTTTGAAGGAGAGGCTTCCTCACATTCCAGGGGATGGGTGTGTAATAGATTCTCTTGTAATTAAAATTTCTCTTCTCTCCAGAGCTTTATTTCTAGGTAACAATTTTATTTCATTAAAGAATATTAAGCTTAAGGTTATTATCATAGGTCCTAAGGAGAACAGAATCAAGTGTCATACAAAGTTTTGTCTGCAGGAAGGATCTTTATCACAGCCTGGTTTGAAAGTGAGTACAGTTCTCATTGTCAACACCACACCATATGTAATAGGGCCTTAAATGATGCACAGATATGTACTGTGTTTGCAGAGAGTGAGAGAAGGTAGAGGTATATGTAGCTTGGTATGTGAGGAGAAGCCAGTCTCGCAAAGTTATGGAACCATACCTGTCTGTAGAAAATTAAATACTTAAATGGATGCTAAACACTTCCAGAAATATAGTAGTTAAATATTTAAATGCATGTAAAGGCCAAGGTTGGAGCAGGATTTGGAACAGAAAAAATGTTTGTACTTCAGAGTATAAATGAACCTCTTGCTGGGGATAAGTGGAAATTTTCTCTCATGTCTGAAATGCCTAGTGGCAGACTTTTTTTTTTTTGTTGTTGTTTTAAAGTTCTTTCTTTATGAAGCCTCATATTCTGTTTGGTTTTTTTTTGATACTGTTAAATGCTTTACTAGTCAAGATATATATTTTATTTTTTTTAATTTTCCTATTTGGTGTTTCAGAATATAGGTAAGGATATATTATCTGTGTGGCATTGTTTTAGAAACATGGTTTGAATTTTTAGAAGCACTTTTATGCCTAATAGCCTTTTCAGAATTCTACTATGGACTTAATTATTATTCTGTAAATGTTTAAACACTGGCTGGAAGTACTGTGAACACTGTTCTTGCCAACTTTGTTGTAGCTAGTGACAGTTCAGATTGTCTAACACTAATGTTTACAGCTTTTACAGTATGAGTGAGTGAATTGCCAGAAGGTCTTGGGAGATCTGGAATTCTCTGGACTGTTCAGGGAGTTGCAGTTGCTTAATTCAGTTTAATTTAAATGTTTGTGGCAAATGTAGAAAGGCCTCTGACTTGATTTAGCTTTGACATTTTTGACTTTGTGATCATTAGTAAGGTAGATGTGGAGATGATAAAATTTAAATTATTCACTCTTGTGGGGGTACAATTTTGTAAACAAAGCTAAATGTGTTTATTCTAATTTTTATGGATGGGTTGATACTTAAAAGTGAGGCGGTTGAGTCAAACAAAAAGTCCAGAGATGAGCTATAGTTCAGAGCCTTCTGTTTTTGTGAATGTCTTGTACCCTTTCTGCTGTTTGACTTTCCACTGCAAGTCAAAACACATCTCAAAATGGATTGGAGGCTGTGGCTTGGTTGTGGATTTTTGTACAGTACATGGCATTTTATGCAAAGCCAGTTCCTCCACATGTATTCAGTCCTGTTCCTTGTAAGGAATATGAGTTTAAAAATTGTAAACAACGATGAAGACAAAGAACCTGCTGTGTTCTGACATGATTTTATTTCATCAGAGCATGCAAGGGGGAAACTTGTGTTCCATTCAAATGACACACATATATGCAGAAAACCTGTTATTTTTCTTGGCATATGTTCAAGCTCTTGTTTTGTTTGGCACAAATAATATATTTTAAAGTAGCATTTCCCTGCCTTGACTTATACTAGATCTGAAAGAAAAAGATTCTATTGTTCCTTCAAATTAGTGTTGAGCATGGCTCACCATGGCATTTGTATTACACCATCTATTTTACAGCACAGGTTACTGATTTTTAGAAACAGTTTGTGTCATACCAGGCTGTGAGAAGAAACAACTGTCTTTGTCTTGTCTCTGAGCATTTGTGTTTTGCAAAATCAAAGTAGTTAAAAAATTATTTCTCCATTCTTTTTTTACTATAGATTGTGTACTTGTCTTGAGTCTAACAGGGGCATTGTATGTACAGGTTTTTTTACAAGAGCATTTCCAGTGTCCTACTTTATTTCCTGTTTGTATCTTACACCCCAGTGACTGGATCAGGTAAGCTATCAAGGTTCAAGAAGGGAAATTTGTGTGGTTCTAGGTGTTTGCTTCTTATTCAGAAATAAGCTGGAAGTATTCATTTTGAAGGGTCTGAGCCTAAAACTGCTTTGGCAGCTGTGCAAAAAGTGCCTCCTTGTGTGTGTGTTTTTCTCCTGTATCCCATCTGCCTCTCACATTCTGTGTCCTTTGCATTTTGCTGAACTTTGGATTGGTTTCTGAGGCTTGGTGCCAGACTAATCTGGCTGCAGGTGGCAGGTGGTCCTTGTGTGAGGACCAGAGGGGAATGTTGCCTGATTGAAATCTCAGCATCCAGTCTTACTAGGTAGTACAGCTAGTCTGGGACCTGGGATGGTCATCTGTATCCCATCACATCTTTCCATGTGGCCTCAGGCCAACCTCCAGTGACTTCAAAACAGTGACTGTTCCTTGTGCTGGGTCAGCGCTGCATAGAGGTGTCAGCACAAGGGGCTCTGACCTGCAGACCACTCCTGGCACAGGTACTGTGAGTTAGTCAAGGTCTGAATGTGGACATCTCAACTCATTTGGTAACAGTGCTGAGGACTGCTGGATATTGAGCTGATTTAATCCCTCAGGGAGGAGCAATGCAACAGAAACAAATGCTGCCATACCTTTCCAAGATGTCCCTTCCCAAGAGCTGCAGATCTCTTAAAAAATAAAGCATCCTTACTGTACAGCATACTGTACTGGGTTTAGTCATCTTTAAACTTTTCTGGGGTGTCTAAGCAAAAAGTTGGAAACCTCTGCATTATTTCTTCTTAATCTGTTACTTCATTTCTAAACTTCTTTTCTCAATAGTCAGAATTCTGACTTATTCTCTATCTTAAAATTTCTCTCTGATGGTTGGTGAGAGTGGTGTGGCATTAATTTCCACTGCACACAATTCTGAGCTTGTTTTGATGTTTCTAGGTGTAACTGGGGCGTGGAGCCAAACTGTGCAATGCCTGCAAAGTCTGTTTGTGAGCAGCTGTTCTGCATTGGCAACGTGAACCAGGGCAACCATTTTCACGCTGAAGTCATGGTCATGTGCTCTGCATTTGTATGTCATTTGCAGAATTCAGGCAGAATGCTGATGATCAAGGATGCAAATATATAATGCAATAAAGTGCCATGGAGCAAGAGAACAGAAATAAATGGTGTCTGCTTTGTATTCGTGACCAACAGCCTGACAGTGTTGATGTGGTGGGCAAGGGCTGGTTAGAGTTCATATAGCTGCTCTCAGTGATTGCTGCTTTTGCTACCTGTTCTTTAAATGGTCTCAACTTCATCTTTTCCAGGAAAAACAAAATGAAGGAACTAGTGTCAAACAGTACAACCAGTATTTCTCAAGCCAGGAAAGCTGTGGAGCAATTAAAAATGGAAGCATACATGGATAGAATAAAGGTAAACTTAGACTTATTGTTAATATTTTGAATTCACTGATATTTTGAATTCACTGGCTAGTTTGTGGAACAGTATGCCCTTAATAATGCAGAAATCAAGAATCTGTGTTGAGCAATAAAACAATATTCAGTACTGTGAGTTACATACCAACTGGTGTGTTCTAGTGAAGTGATTTTCAAAGCCTGGCTTCAAGTCTGCCTCTATGAGAGTGTCTGTCATGTTTGTCAAAAGTGTATTTTGTGAAATACTTAAAATCAGCTGGTGGGTGCTCTTCTTTGTCACCTCTAGCTGAATTTAAGTGCAGCTCTGGTTTCTTGGTTTTTCTCCTTTAAGAATTGGAATAAGTCTTTAAGACATTGCAAAATTTTTGAATAATGATGAGACAAGCTGAATTGCTTTGCTTTGTTTTGTTTTAGTGCAGACATCATTGCAGATACAAAAATCGTGTGAGATTGCAGTGTCCAGTTATGATTCTTCACACTTGATAACATGTTGTATGTGAAAATTTGGTTTCATCATGCATCTTATTACTAAATATTACCATTAAAGGGACTATTAAACAGAGGTTTTCTGGTTTTTTAACCAAAAAATCCTGTGGATTATTCTTGCATGTCATTGTTTCCACAAGGCTAAAATTTTGTGAAATATCAAGCACCTAGAAGCTAAAAATGCCTTGGAACTTTTTAAGAAAGCTATGCTTATTTCTTTTGCTCTCTTCCTCTGAAAATAGGGAATAATTATTTCGATAAAAATCCAGTCTCTACAAGGAAGAAATTTTTTCCATCTTTAAAAAGTAATGCATTGAAATTACCCAGCTCTCTACAAAAAACTGTAACCGAGTTGCTACAAACTGTAACTGAGATTATGAAGTCAGTAGGACAATTTAGAAATGTTGTACATTAAAATCTTCATGTAGGTCTTTACTCAGTTTGTTTGTCCATCCATCCTCTGTGCTGAAAGTCTGCATGGGGACAGTAGAATATATTTATGATATTTAAAATAGTCTCAGATCACAAACTCACCAGCTGGAGAAGTAATATTTATAATTCAGAAATATTAGCACAATGCACATGAGTGGTCAGTCTTGCTCATATGAAAAAAGACATTTCAGTCACTGTTTTGTGGCAGTTTTTAGTGATGTCTTGTAAGACCATTGAAGAGGCAGAAGTGCTTTCTCTCTTTCATAACATGTCACAAATTCATCACATAACCCGTTCACAGGGACAGGTGTTTGCTTCCTGCAGTAAAAGAAGGTCTGCCTTGGTTAGTCCCAGGTCATATTGCAGCTGCACGGACAGAACTGACAAGGGAGGGTGTGGGTGGCAGAGGAAAGTGTTGGAAAGATACGGCCCACTTTACTGGCACTTGAACTTGTTGATACTTAGTAGATTGCCTTAAACGTGCTTCTATGTATGCAGTGGCAACTGTCACGTCCCACATCATTAGGTCAGTTTTGCAAATAGCTTCTTCATTAGTTAGGTGTATAACATTCTTAATTGCATATGCAAGAAAGACATAGCTGTAAGAAAGACATAGGTTATTTTTACAGTCAGTTTAATTAAAATGAACACAGTTATTACAAATGTGGCAGACCTAAAAAACAGGTAGCTTGAAAGTGCAATTATTTCACTTTTTGAAACAGCCTGGGACCAAAAACACACCAAAGAAAATCTGTCATGTTTCAGAATTATGAGGGCTCCTATACTAATATAAAACAAATATAACTTTTCAAAATGCCTTGATTTCTATAATTTCTCTGAACAAGCATATGAGGGATTGTGAGAAGCGGTTGATGGGCTTTTTATTCCTTCAAAATCTGCTTGGCTTTTTAATCTTGCATCAGGTAATGTGAGTTTTGGCACAGTCAAATTTTACCAAGAGACTTTCCACTGGTTTCAACGGGAGATTTTAAGTTCTCAGATCATTACTGTAGAGGTAGATCAATGAACTTACTTCATTTTTTTCCTGGTGTTTTACATCTAATTAAACTAGTTAGACATTTAACAAAAGATCAGGGCTTTCCAAATAATTTAATTAAACCCTCTTTTGCAAATAGCTATAGCCAAGTTGTTATTGCCACAATAGACAAGACCACACTGCTAAAATGGAAGAAGTGTCTGTGTTATTGACTGGGAAAATCAGAAGTTCCAGTTTATTTTTCTACTGCAGAGGCACTTTGTTTCCAATGCCCAGCAGCCCCTGTAACCAGCAAGAGTTGGGTCTACTCATTTAAAATGCTGTAGTTAAAAGTATGTTGATAGTTGCTGACTCCCCACTGTATTCTGGATTTTTCAGCTAATTTAAGAAGTCCTATTGAGTCCTCTAGCCGGTCAGAGCAGCAAAGCAGTGCTGTGTTCTGAGATTCCACAAAGACAACTCGCTGCTGAGGTGTGAAAGAAGCAGGACAACTCAAGAGATGTTTGGAGTTATCAGTGTATTGATCGGTAGTTGGAAGGAGGATTACCGTGGGGTTTTTTATAAACCATAGGAATGCCAGCAGGATCATAATTGAACCTGTCTTACCTGGCAAAGGAACAGCTAGAGTTATAAAGGAGAAGTAAGTAGGAAGCTGGAAACACAGATCTCAAGCTAGGAAACACCAAAGTAAAATCAGGTGAACAGTGGCCTCATGACTAGTAGAATAATGTGTCTTCTAAAGATGCTAGCAGTAAAGTTGAGAAAGCAAAGTTAGCATTGGTGTTTATCAGAGTTGTCCTCAGAATAAAGCACTACTTAATCTTTTCTTTGCAAGCAGAAAAGCAAGAGTGCTCTGACATTTAAGACCCTTGGCATATCAGTTATCATTCCATTTTCTTTTTCCTAAGGAAGATAGAAAGTATTCCTAACTGGTCCTGAATAGTGTTGGGAGATGAACAGTGAGAACGCCAATAAATGTGTGCGAATGTCTTTGTTTTAGATGTAAAGGATAAGCAGAGGGGGTGTTGTAGCAAGGATAGTAATTAGTCACAATCCATGACAAGGCAGAAGACATTGTAATTGCAGCATTTTGCCCTGTCACTGAAGCTTATAATTATTAGTGCAGCTAACAGGGTGTACTAACTCTGGCAGTTTTTATCACCTCTGCTACTCTGAAATATAATGGTAAAATTTCACAGTCTTCCTGAGACTAATTCTTTAAAGCATCAGGGTTGAGTGACTTGTTGGACATTTTTTCCCTATTAATTTGATAACCAGATGTGGTTTTTGCAAGAAAGTAAGAGTAATTCTACAAAATGTGAGAATCAGTGTGATACCTATTTACTCCATCTTCTAATCCATGCACCTTAAAAAGATTTTTTAAAAATGAGATGTTAACTTTCTGATAGAATTCATCAATCAAACTGGAGATTGATTTCTTTTCTTTAGCCACTTCTGCAATATGTATAAATTACATTTATATGAACTTGCAAACCAAGCCATATTGCATAGGAAAGCTGACATGATAAATGTGTTCACTTCATTTGAATATTCAAATCCCATGCATTTATTTTAATTCTTAGGAAAAGCTATTTTGAAGCTGTCCAGCAACATTCAGCTACAAATAACCCCAAAGGCGAGTAAAAGTTAGGATAGATTGGGCTCCATTCCACTCCTTCCATGGTACACAGTCAGCACATCAATGTGTGCAGCACAGCCCGCAGCCCTGGCCGTGGGGCACCTCTGGGTGCTGCCTGTGCCAAAGCAGCCGTCCCTGCTGGACCTTGGTGCCATGCTCAGTGCACAGGCCTTCCACCACTGCTCTTCCCAATAATGACACTGAGCAGGCAATTTGCTGGAGGTAATATTGTATTTTGCTCTTTTTTGGGCCACAGGTCTGGCTTTGCCAACGCTGCTCGCAGCCACGGGAACTCGTGTTTACATTGCTCCTGGACTATGATCAGCTCATTTAACTCCCTGTTGTGAATGGCCATTATTCCACTGTGCAGGCCTAAGTTACTCTACTTTTAGTGAAGAAATGGTTATAATTCACTTTTTTTTAATGACTACTGTAATCCCAGTGGAACGATTTTTCCTCTCAAAACCTTTTATTTCTTTAAAGGATGAAAATATATGGTCTAGTGCAGGTTTAGTTTGTGCCATGATCATGGTCCTCAATTTCCTGTTGCAGGTTGGTTTTTAAATAAATTGTACTAGGGTTTGTTTAAAAGCAAACTAAAATGTGACTTAAACACTATGACAAAAACCCTTGAAGGAAGGGTTTTTCTTCACAGAAAGGGGTGATGGGGCATTGGAGGGGGGGTACCCAGGGAGGTGGTAGAGTTGCCGTCCCTGGAGTTAAGAAAAGACTGATGTGGCACCAAGTGCCGTGGTCTAGTTGACAAGGTGGTGTTAGGTCAAAGGCTGGACTTGATAATTTCAAAGGTCTTTTCCAACCCAGATGATTCTGTTAATGTGTTACTCTGCTTCACAACATTTTTACCAGCATTACAGGACAAGTTAGATACAAAAATGTATGCTGAGCTTTTACTAGTGAAACATCCTTTTTTTGTTATATCATAACAAAGCACAGCAATATGTAGAGAAACAGGAAATTATATTATTGGGTTTCTCCCTCCTAAGAACGTGGTCTGAAATTGTACTGCTCTTCCACTGAATGAAAAGCAATATACTTGGGCTGATGTTGCTTATCCATGCATGAAACTAACAAGATCATTAAAGGAAAATCATTACAATCCTTTGTACTTTGAGGCCTGCAACTTTCAACACATTTTTGTTTTACCTGCTTCTTTCTTCAGAAGCACTGGTCCTTGTGAACATCTCTTCTGATTTTTTCAGTTTTCTGTTTCACCTGTGCCCAGCAGCCTTCTGCTCATACGTAGTGTCTCTGCCACCCTTTTGTCTTACAGGCTAATTCAAAGACAAACTGATTTTAAATAACCTTAACACTCTTATTTCCTCCATTAGGGGGATAGTCTATACTGGGGTGCCAACCACAGGTTCTCCATAGGTTTAAGCATTCTACAAAGACACACAGAAATTAAAAATAAAGAAAATAGAGAAATAAAGTCTCTAATCATCTTCAGAAGTTCATTCAAATTTCATGCAAATTCTGATTCAATACCCACTCACTTCATAGATCTAATCTAAAGCCTACTATAGGCTTATTTCTCCCAAATTTGCCCTAAACTAGGACAGCTGGGTTCATGTCAAAGCGAGCAGGGCGTGGGGAAGCTTAAAGCAAACACTGGGGACACACCTGCTGGAAAAATACCAGAAATGGGATTTGTTTCTTCTCCTCACTCTAGCTGTGCAAACATACTGACCCTGGTGTTTGAAGAGGGACAAGCTGCCACAGTGCTCAGAGCAAAGACTTCTTTGTAAGCACTCCAGAATTCATTTTCTCAGCTATCAGAATATTGAAAACCCAATAATTCACCAAAGCAAAGAGGTACAGATAGCCATGAATATCTTACTGACTGATCAGAACAAAAAGTTTTGTATATACTTTCTAAATTCTTGAAAAAATAAATGAGTCACTATGGCCTACTGCCACCAATATTCTTATGGCACAAAGCTGCAAAAATTAAAAGGTTTAATATTTCATTTTTCATTTACTGTAAAATAACTTGCTTTGCAAGTATTCAACACACTGCTACATTTTTGCATGTATTTGTATTTTTATAGATTTTTCAGTAAGCATAAATCCATGTCCTGAATTTGGAGACCTGAGAATTATTTATTTTAGAAGTATAAAAATATTAAGTTAAAAAACATTAAGGTAGTGCTCAAGTTTAAATGAATGCTGTGAATAAAGAACTACTTATAGTAAGGTAATAAGCAGAAGACATTAGTCTTGCTTCATTGAAAAGAGCAGTATTTAGCTTAAATGAGACCTATGACAGATGATGTTCAGGTTTTCTTCCTGATTTATTATTTCTTTTTAATCCCATGGTCATGTGCATAAGGAACTTTTTTTTTTTTTTGCAACCAGAAGAGCAGAGGGTAGAGAGAGTATGTGTGGAAAACCTTAAAACCAATTAATGGGAGTGAGAGCTGAAGCAGGTTTCTCTACAGAAACAGACACTTCAAGGAGAATCCTTACTGCTTATGGCTGGTTAACACATAAATGTTTTAATGACTGTGTGCTCCTGACCTCCTTCTGATGCAGAGGAACAGCTCAACATGGATCATATCAATCAATACCATCTATGTCACTATGTTAGATAAAATGTGTGTAAGGATTACTAGGCCTAGGAAGAGCAAACTGAGAGATGTGTCTTATCTTTAAAGGATAAAGCAATCTACTCCCTGTTTTACGATAGCTTCCATTATCATTTGCTCTATGAAAAATATTTATGCAATTCAGATTGGTTCAGAATTAAGTGTTACAATAGTTCTCTCTTCTCTTCTATTAGGTATCCAAGGCTGCAGCAGATTTATTGGCATATTGTGATGCACACATTGGAGAAGATCCCCTTATTATTCCTGTACCTGCATCTGAAAATCCCTTTAGGGAGAAGAAACTCTTTTGTACTATCCTTTGAGTCAGTTTTCAATTAAAAATGTTATCTGCTAAAACTTGGTATCAGTGTTGCATGCTTTTAACATTTTTTTCTTCAGATGTCAACACTTACCCCATACCTACAATATTTTTGGAAGGTAGTGCAATTTCGGCTAAAAAACTCCCCTAAAATTAAAAAAAAAATTAAAAAAAGAAAAATTCAAGGTAATGCTTATCTTTCAGAGCAATGTACAAGTTTAATTTCAGTACTTCATAAATATTTTTGGTCTTAGTAAAAATACCAAGTACAGTATCAAATTGTAGATATCTTTGCCAGTAATAGATTTTTCTGGGATCCAAATGAGTCATATCAATTCTTGAAGCTATTTTTAACATTCTTATTTTCCTTGGAAGGTGAATTCAATTCAATTGCCTTTATAAAATTTCTATCTAAAGAGAGTAGCGTGACCTTTTCCTCAAGTAGCACTATTTAGGAAAAAGTCCCAGTGATTTACATTGTTTAGAGTGATTGGTCTTATACAGTAAGTGGTGTCTATAAATATGTTTTCTGAAGACTGTAAGAAACTTGACTACAAAAACAATCCTAGTAAATTGCCATTATAGCTATAAGCAGAATGAAGATGTATAGTCACACATCAGGATTGCATCAATAAAAACGTAGAAAAATGTGGTTGCTGGTATCTTATTTTGAATGATAATGATTTGAACTATTTAGAAAGTAAACTGAACTGTGAAATAAGTGTTCCTGAGGGTTTTAGTGGGGGGTGTAAGACTGCCCTGAACAGCACAGGGATGAGGAATTACATTTTCTGAGCAGCCCTCTACATGCTTTTTGCCCATGAGAGTGGGACTTCATGGGGATGCAGAGTAATGGTAAATAAATGTTGTTCTAGGATATGCAGCAAGACCACTGTGGTGTTGCCAGCCACTATGTTTGTACATTTTGTGGCCACACATTAGTTAAGTTGTCAGCAAGTAATTTGTGGAAGTTCTGGGTGGGATGTTTTTTTGTTTCAACTTTAAAGTACAGTGAGAGGAAAAGAATGAGGTGTGAAATAAAACTGCCTTCATAAAGTAAAATTAAGCTCATGCAAGGCACCTGATGGAAGCAACTGCTATTTTAGAGATTTTTTGTTTTGTTTTTCTTCTCCTTATTAAAAAATAAAATGAAAACTCTTTTTCAATCTGATGCATAAGGACAGTTGTCTCACTGCAGTACCTGATATGTACAGTGCTTCAGCCAGCTCCATAAGGCAGGAGACAATTTTGTTGGAGAACTGCACCAGTCTGAGCTGAGCAGCCACCCATAAGAGATCAAACTTCCTCCCTTCCTCTGCACCAACTTGTATTCTATAAACATCTTAAATACCTGCAAAAAACTAGCTGAGGAATTTAGGACCTTGAGGTATTCATAAATGCTGAATTTAGATGCTGAAAAGGGCTGCTTGGTGAACAAAGCCATGTGCATTTCCCCCGAAGTGCATGTACCTTCTCCAGCTTATTTTTAGCAATTTCCATCAATGTCTGTTGTACTGTTTTCTGCAGTGGAAATACAAGATGTCTGCATTGTACAGATTTTGTTTTCTTTGCTGTTTGGCTTGGATAATGGGCCTCACCCAACTGTGTTCAGCTACTAGTCTGGGCACACAGGACAGGGGGCTTTGGATGGTGCTACTGCTGCTGGCAGTAGCACCTCATGTCTCACATGCAATGTTATTGTAAAAACCCCTACATACTCCTTTTAACCAATAGGCTTTTGGGATGCCTTTAATTCAAAGATACGGTTTTTGAACTGGGCAGCTGGAGACATCAGTATCTTAGCAGGCTTGACATACCTATGCTGAAAAACATTCAGGTATCTTGAACAGGTCTTATTTTGGGTCGGCTCATCCTTAGTTCCTATTTCAAAGTTTTCAGCTTAAGAATCCCATTCCTAACTTTTAACCAAAATATTTGTTAATGTATGGTGTGTTTTTATTTTGAGGGTAGAGAAATAGGGTTTAGCTAACTGAGTTTTATTGACAGTGAAATAAAAAAAGGCTTTCTGAAAATACTTATTTTAAAAGAGCAACAAAATGCTTAATAAGGTTCTTTAGGGAATCCTTCCTACAGTGTACATGATTTGGTATCTGCTCTGATCACCATGGCAACATTTTCATTTGTCCTTCCGCATGTATGGTTTTAACTGGAACAGCATGGGAGGAGAATATAGGGCATACAGCTTTATTCTCAAAGGCTTTGTAACAACTTGCATTTGTGGCTCATCATTAACATTCCCATCTAAAATAACAAAATTGCCACGGCTTATTACAGTATTGCAAACAGCTTGCTTTCTGTTTCCAATTAGGGTTAGTGTCTGACATCCTGAGATGGAAACATTTCAGTGCTTTTGAGGGTCTCTGGTTGTAAGAGATGCATTTACAAAAATCCAGAATTATTATTCACGAGGGGAGAATGGAATTCTTTTGATCTTCAGGTTTTTTCTCCAAAATCTTTCTTCAAGGAGTTGTGAATGTGTTGGAGTTATGTTTTAAATAGCTGCTCCCATGTTTGTAGTCTCTTTCATCAATTCATAAATTTCATTAGGTTAAAAAAAAAAAAAGTATCTATTGAGATGATTTTATGCTTCCAACTTTTAAAAAAGTTTTTAAAAAATTTAAAATCCAGCTTTATAGCACTACTAAATTAAGTACATGGAATACCATAAAGTGCATATTTACGTTAGCAGATGTCTATAATGTGTTTGAAGAGGTTAAACTGTAGAAGCATAATTCCTTACTGGAAAACAGAACATCTTTCTCTGATATCCTTGGACCTTATTTACCAGTTCCTTGAATGACGATATACTATTGGAAAATTACTAATTTGAAGGGGAAGAGGGTGAGGTGAACTTGGAAGATCAGCACTTCAAATAAAATTGTAACAGCTTTGGATTGCATACAAATATATTATTTTCCTTAACACCATCAAAAAATTGACTCTCTGAAAGAGAATGGCATCATTTGGTTCACTTTTTTTTAATGCCAGCTTGATCCACAAATCAACATTTAAAATAATATATTTTCCTCCAATCCCAGCAAACCATAAAATGTCTTTGTCATTGTTATATTTTGTGCTGCTTTAACCTTTGAGGTGGTTTGGATAATCTGCTATTGATACTTAAGTTTCATGCTTAAGCATCTTGCCTCAGCTCTACACAAAAATATCCAAATGATTTTGTACATTTTCCTAAATAATGAATACATGTTATATCATGAAGCATAGAATGATGTATATATTTAAAAAAAAAAAAAAAACAACTCTCCAAAATGTGGATTTTTCTAACAGAAAGGTTTCCTGTAGGCTGAAGCAATGAGTTTATACTTTCATCAGACAGTCTGATTTGATTCCTGCCAATCAAATTATTTCAATGAAAACAAAACCAGACCTGCTGCCATCCAAATGCTGTACTGCTCTCTCTCTGTTTCATCTCATATGCCATTAGGCTTGTTTATTTGTAGTTCAGGCCCTGAAAGTAATGGGTGCTCTCTGTTAACTGTGTGAGTTGGGGCTGTCATCTCATGAAGTGAGAATTTCAGAACAGAATTGGATTCAAGGGGGTTTTGACATGTTATGAGTTATCCTTTCTTCATATCCCAACTCTTGCTGTTCTAATGAAATGAGAGTTCCCAATAGTTTGGTGGCAAATTGTAATGTCTCAGTAGCATATGTGGGGCTGGCTGTTTTGCCTCCATGAGATTAATCTCCTTAGTTTACTTTAAGATACTACCATTTCAATCCTAAAACCTATTTTCTTCCTCCCCATTATATACTAAATTCCCCTTCTTTACTTCCTATATCATGTATTAAATTAGTAGTGGGGTGCTTGGCTGGTGCTGATAGGCAAATTTTTTTAAGCTAACCTTTATGAAATTATCCCCAAAGGAGAAGAAAAATATGGAGGGAAGTTTAAACTAAGTTATTCTGCATCACACCAAAGGTTAAAATAAATACAGCCTTTGCTGTCAGCGGTACTAAGGTAAACAATTGTTCTTAAGGATGTTGTAACCAGGCATTTTTGCAGTGGCTTACAGCAGGATCAGCTCCAACAGAAGGAAAGAACACTTTGGCAACAACAGTCTGTAAAGGTGCATATTAAAGCCTAAACTTCAATAAGGCAGTCATTTACCCAGTTGAATTTCTGATATCAAAGGAGTAACAAAATATGTGCTTTGAGAGGACCTGATTATACGGTTTTTCCAACCTCTTCATTACATAGGGATAAAAATCTGTATACATAATTTTCCTAGAAGATGCCATAATTATGGCTGTCCTTTGGGTCTGCATCAGAATATGGATTTGTTTCTTCAAGGAGACTAAAGAAAACTTGGGGGAGGAGTGGTTCCTAGGAAATACAGGCTTCTTTTACTGAAAACTAGTTCTTAAAGTCATTAGACTGACTTAAATAGTAATGTGTGAAAAATAGTGTGCAAACTTACCAGAATAAGTGTTACAGAAAATTTTACAGGCACCTGCACATTTAATCTTTAGGTAAATAATGTACATTTGCATCTAATTAAATCCAGCTTTGTAGCACTATTAAATTAAGTACAGCCATAAATACCAGAACTGGTATGGGAACAATTTTTCTGTCTGTTAGAGGAAGATGTGCATCTGAGTTTGTCAAGTACATTTACACCACTCATGCTTGTGAACAAACAAAATGAGCAGCTTTACCCTAAAATTGGGTCTTTTCTTTCCCAAATTCCTATTACAAGTAGGAACTGCACAGGCTTGTCTATTACTGCCACCTACTGATAAAGTGATAAGCAGCTGACTGAGATGAAGACGTACCAATACCAACTAGCAATGACCCAAAGGGGTATTCTGAATTAATACACAAACTGTCTGAAACAGAGTCAGCACTCCTGTTTTTGTAGGCTACATTGTGTAAGATTTGACATAGCATTGGGGCACTGCTGCACTGCTGGGGTGTAGTTACACCTCATGCTTTGGTTCCAGACTGCTCAGTTAGGAAGACAC